CCAGTACACTTTTTACTCCCATCCACACAAAATTCTTTTCAAGAATCGATCATATTTTTATGACCGCCAGTTCTTCCCCCCCCCCCCCGTATTTTGTCTTCCGATATCCTTCCGATTCCATGGTCGGATCACTGTGCAGTTATCACCACCATTGCCTCTCTAGCTCCTTCTCCCCTGATCCCTCTTGGACCATCAATGAACGCCTGCTGGCCGACCCAGCTCATTGCACAGAGATAGCAGCTGAGCTCAAAGAGTATCTCTCCTTAAATCAAACCCCTGAGATCTCCCCCCTCCTATTATGGGAAGCTCACAAACCAGTACTCCGCGGATTCTGTATCAGTAAAGCCTCCTTCCTGAGCAGAGAAAGGAGGCAGAAACGCCTCCTCCTTGAACAAGCATACGACCAATCCCATAGTGCCTTTAAAATCCCCCACCCCTGCTAACAAAGAAGCCCTTGAGCACTCTCTGGACTAGCCCTGGATCTCTTCCCTACGGACCAAGCCAAGCTCTCCATTCGCAGATCTTGACACAAATTTTACACTAAAGCCAATAAGCCTGGCACTCTTCTTGCTCTCTCCGTAAACTAGACCAAACGTTAAGCCCATACGGTTATGGATCTCATCTGCACATTTCACCAGCAACCCAGAACGGATCCTGCAAACTTTCTACAAGCACCTCTCGCATCTCTACTCTGCCTCCGCAACCTTTGACTCTTCCCATGCCGAAGCCCTTTTCGCTTCTCTTCCTTTTCCGAAATTGGCCAAAAAATCATCTTACAGCACTAGAACGACCCGTCACTACAGTCGAAACCTTAAATGCTATTAATTCCCTGAAGTCCCGCAAACGCCCAGGACCTGACGGCTTTTCTGCCACGTACTATAAAAAGTTTGCCCCCATTCTCACACCTCTCATGACAAATGCGTTCAATGCCATACTCTCGGGTCATACCTTTAACCCAGATACAGTGCAAGCCAACATCTCTATGATTTCTAAGCCGAACTCGGATGATACACAATGGTCTAACTTTCCGACCAATTTCCCTCCTTAACGTAGACGTTAAACTGTTAGCCAAAATCCTATCTACTCATCTCAATGCATGCATTGGATCCCTGATCCACAATGATCAGGTTGGTTTCATACCAACTAGGCAAGCAGGAGACAACGTCCGACGTGCATCCCTTTTAGCACATTTAGCCAAATCCCGCAATATTCCCACATGCTTTTTGTCCCTGGACATACGGAAGGCGTTTGACACAGTCTCATGGCCATACTTACACTACATTCTGCGCCGATGGAGCTTTGGCCCACATTTCTTAACCTGGATCTTTTCTCTCTACCAGGGCCCTTGGCCAGAATTAAATACCTAGGACATCGATCCGCTCATTTCCCAATTTTTTGTGGGCACCAGGCAAGGTTGTCCCCTATCCCCCTTGCTTTTCACACTAGCTATAGAACCGCTGACACTATTGATTAGAACCGACCCAGATATCCGCGGACTTGAGATAGGAGGCACCTCGCATAAACTGTGCTTATTTGCAGATGACGTCCTACTTTTCCTCACCTCTCCCTTAACATCTACACCAACCTACTTCGCCTCCTTGATAGGTTTGGTGCGCTCTCTGGCCTTCAAATTAATCCCCGGAAATCGTTGGCGCTTAATATCTCGCTCCCACCTAACGAACTTACCCACCTAAAACTGATCTTGCCATTCTCATGGTCGCAAGACTCCGTTCCCTTTTTGGGTATAAACTCACCTCGCATATCTCAGGTCTTTATACCGCTAACTACATCCCTATGCTGGCTCATCTAACGGCACTTATGACTAAATGGTCCTCCCTTCCTCTAGCTTGGCTAGGCAGGATAGCAATCGTGAAGATGTCGATTCTTCCCAAAATCCTCTATCTTTTCAGAGATCTCCCTATCCCAGTACCCGCCCACTACCTTCGTGTTTTGCAGCGCCACATTTCTTCCTACATTTGGGGCAAAGTCCTCGCCCCGTGTTTCCCGCTCTACTCTATACCGATCTAAACTCTATGGTGGTCTGGGCCTCCCTAAGATCAGCAAATACTACCAAGTGGCGCATATGGCACAACTGCCAAAGTATCACGCTACCTACGAAATCAGCAGTGGGTCATTCTCGAATCCATCGAATGCGACCCCTTTTCTACAGCAAACTTTTTGGCTGAGACGCATTGACCGCTGCACAATTGAGAATCCCATCACTTCACATTTTTTGTCTCTTTGGGATAAACTGAGGTCTCGTTACCTTCTACAATCACCCCATAATCCCCTTCTTTCCTACCTTGTAATCCAGCCTTCCCCCCCAGCCTGGTCTGCGCACCACATTTCTTTACTCGATGGTCTACGGCTGGTCTCACTCAGACCCGACACTTCATGCTCAGAAATAAATTTAGATCTTTTACCTCACTATGTGAGTCCCATAACCTCCCCACCTCTGAGTTATTCAGGTATCTGCAGTTGAAACATTTCTTTGCTCCGTTACACAATGGCTGCCAACCCAGTTTCCACTTTGTCTCCTTTTGAGCGAGCATGTCTCAGAGACCCTCATAGACGAGGCCTCATATCCTATATATATTCCCTTCTTACAACCTCAACCGTACCTCCATTACCCTCATACACAGGAAAAATGGGAAGCAGATTTAGGCCGGCATATTGACCCATCAGATTGGGACCTCATTTGGTCCACTACCAAAGAGTCGTCGCAGAATATTGTGGACCTGGAGACCAATTACAAAGTCCTGACCCGCTGGTACCTCATCCCAACTAGAATTGCAAAATTTACCCCTGATTACCCCCCAGTTTGTTTCAGAAGCTGTGCAGACCTAGGAACATTTTTTCATATTTTGTGGGATTGCCCAATTGTCCGAGCTTTTTGGGCGGAGGTTTTTAGAATACTGTCCGCACTCAGTGCCATAACCCTCCAACCAAGTCCACTAGTCGTGCTTCTCAACCACCGAACCACCGGACATCACGAAGGCAAATTTTAACCTCATTCTACAAGTCACCACTGCGGCCAAACAGGTTATCGCTAAGTCATGGAAGTCTCCCTTACTGAGTACGACTGCAGTTATGATTAGGGTCACTCAGGAGATGATCCACGCAAAAAATAGCCACTATCTTAGATTCCATCACTAAGTTTAAAAAGGTTTGGAATCCATAAGTAGAGCATTTCCTCCCATCCAATTTTGACATCTCCCTCCTCAATCCATAACCTATGCCCTCTGCTTTACTGGGACCATCCCTTGCTGATATTGTGATTATCTGGCTATTTTCCTTTCCCCTTCCTTGGAGCCGTACGCCCTATTCCTTCCTTACTCCCCCCCCCCTTCTTGTTAGGCCCCTAATTGATTGTTGATGGTCACTTATGTTAGTGCTGCCTGACTTTGTATTAACGGGAACTCTTATCGTTCATCTACTGTACACCTCTAATCCCCCGTATGGTTACTTATCATTTGTTCTGTGTTACATGAAATCAATAAACATTTCTGAACAAGAAAGTATATATTTTCTCGCACTAGCTATGGGTATATGTGGAATTACACCCCAAAATACATTCTGCTACTTCTACTGAGTATGGGGGTACCACATGTGTGAGACGTTTGGGGAGCCTAGCCACATACAGGAGCCTGAAATCCAATGACCACTTTGAAAGCCTGAAGGTGTGTAACTTCCTCACTACCTATCACAGTTTCGGAGGCCCTGACGTCAGGATAGCACCAAACCCCCCAAATGACCCCTTTTTGGAAAGTGGACACTTCAAGGAATTTAAAAAGAGGCATGGTGAGTATTTTGCAGATCTCTTTTTTTCTCACAAGGTTTTGAAATATAAAAAAAGAAAAGAAAAAATGTTTTTGTTTTTTTTCTTCAATTTTCAAAAACATGTGGCAACAAATGAGATCTACCAGATGCTTCTCGGGGCTGCAGTTCCTCTGAGCTCCACAAGGTGGTGATCTCACTTCTACCCAGACAGGAAGTCTCTATGGAAGACAGACCGGAAGTGATGTCAGGTACAGATAGGAAGTGATGTCAGGTAAAGACAGGAAGTGATGTCAGGTACAGACAGGAAGTGACATAAAATAGAGACAAAGTTCCATGTTGCACAAAGAAAAAGAGACACCGTGAAAAGTGGCAGCAGAGGAGGTAATAAGTTGTTTATTGTCCTATTTACACCAAGTAACCCCCCCATCATGTCAATCCTCTTTCTTCCATTATCATGTCCGTCCCTCTTCCTCCATAGTCACGTCCTGTCCTCTTCCTCCATAGTGTCATGTCCGTCCTCTGTCCTCCATAGGCACTGTGATGTCTTTTATGTCCAGCAGATGATGACTACACACGCATATATAGTGGGGAACCCAGATGAACCCCTTCAGGGGGAGGAGTTGATGATAATATATTTGCTCCCAAAGCTGGCCTACATGGTTCATTTTTTTATCGTTCAGCCAGCGGGATGTGAGAAAAAAATATTTTATTATTATTATTATACAGGATTTATGGCCCAACAGTTTGCTCAGCACTTACAATATAAACGGGAGACAATACAGCAACAATACAGGATCAATACAAGAGGGATATGAGGGCCCTGATCCTCAGGGAGCTTACGCAATCTAGGAGGGAGGGGCTAGTGGTTACAAAAGGTAGTAACTGTGGGGGATGGACTGGTTGGAAGAGTAGAAGATTCCAGTATTAGGAGGGCAAGGATAGCTTCCCTGAAGAGAGAGGTTTTCAAGAGATGGCCTAAAAGTAAGCAGAGTAGGCAATAGTCCTGATAGATTGGGGTAGAGAGTTCCAGAGGATGGGAGAAGTCCTGGAGATGAGCAGGGAGGAGGAGACAAGGGAGCTAGAGAGAAGAAGGTCATGCAAGGAGCGGGAGAGTAACGGTTTGGTGTGATATTTGGAGACGAAGATCGGTGATGTTAATTTGGGGCAGAGTTATAAATAGCTTTTATACATTATTGTTGGGTTTTAAATTTTATCCGTTTGGGCAATGGGAAGCTGGTGCACGGGATTGGCAGAGAGGGGTGGAGGGACACTGAATGGAGGCCAGTGGAGGGATTGGCAGAGAGGGGGTGGAGGGTACACTGAGTGGAGGCCAGTGGAGGGATTGGCAGAGAGGGGTGAGGACACTGAGTGAGAGTCGGCCAGTGAGGGATTGGCAGAGAGGGGTGGAGGACACTGAATGGAGGCCAGTGGAGGGATTGGCAGAGAGGGGTGAAGATGGACACTGAATGGAGGCCAGTGGAGGGATATGGCAGAGAGGGATGGAGGACACTGAATGGAGAGCAGTGGAGGGATTGGCAGAGAGGGATGGAGGACACTGAGTGGAGGCCAGTGGAGAGATTGGCAGAGAGGGGTGAGAGAACACTGAGTGGAGGCCAGTGGAGGGATTCGGCAGAGAGGGGTGGAGGACACTGAATGGAGGCCAGTGGAGGGATTGGCAGAGAGGGATGGAGGACACTGAATGGAGAGGCAGTGAGGGATTGGCAGAGAGGGATGGAGGACACTGAGTGGAGGCCAGTGGAGAGATTAGGCAGAGAGGGGTGGAGAACACTGAGTGGAGGCCAGTGGAGGGATAAGGGCAGAGAGGGGTGGAAGGACACATGAATGGAGGGCCAGTGGAGGATTGGTAGAGAGGGATGGAGGACACTGATGGTAGGCCAGTGGAGGGATTGGCAGAGAGGGATGGAGGACACTGAGTGGAAAGGCCAGTGGAGGGATTGGCAGAGAGGGGTGGAGGACACTGAGTAGAGGCCAGTGGACGGGATTGGCAGAGAGGGTGGCAGATACAGAACTGTTAGTAAGATGGATGAGTCTGGCGGTAGCATTCATGATAGACTGAAGAAAGGAAGGCCTGTGATGAGGTCAATGAGAAGGGGAGTTATAATAGTCAAGGCGATTGATATAACAAGGGAGTGAATAAAGAAAAGTTGCCTTAGTGTTTTCCGAGGTTAGGAATGGCCTATCTTGGAGATGTTGCGGAGGTGAAGTCTACAAGATTTGGACAGCAATTGGATTTGGGACTGAAAAGACAGATGGGAGTCTAGGATTACACCTAGTACCCTGGCATGAGTGGGGGTTGGGACTGATGGTCGTGTTATTGCTCTTGATGAAGAAGTCAGGGGAGGGGGCTAACAGGCTAAGGGGGGGAAAGGGGGGGGGAATACTAAGCTCAGTTTTGGAAAGATTGAGCTTGAGGAAGTGGAGTGAAATCTATGCCGATATGTCACTTAGTAGTGTTAGTGATGGGAGAGGGAGGACTGAAGGGGTAGGTGAGGAGTAGAAAGATAGATTTGTGTGTCATCAGCATAGAGAGGTACTTAAAGCCATTGGAGTTTATCAAGTGACCAAGGGAGAGGTGGTAGATGGAGAAGAGAAGGGGTCCAAGGACAGAACCTTGAGGGACCCCTACAGAAAGAGGGAGTGAAGAGGAGGAGGCAGCATTATAGGTAACACTGAAGAGGAGCGCTGCGATAGGTAGGAGAACCAGGAGAGAACAGAGTTTCAGAGGCCAAGAGAGTGGAGTTTTTTGAGAAGGAGGGGATGGTCAACAGTATCAAAAGCTGCAGAGAGGTCTAGTAAGAAATATGGAGTAGTGGCCATTGGTTGGGATGAGTATGGAGTAGTGGCCATTGGTTGGATTGGTATGGAGTAGTGACCATTGGTTTGGGATGAGTATGGGGAAGAGAAGGGAGTAGTGGCCATTGGTTGGGATGAGTACGGTGGTAGTGGCCATTGGTTGGGATGAGTACGCAGTTAATGGCCATTGGTTGGGAATGAGTACGGAGTAGTGGCCATTGGTTGGGATGAGTACGGAAGTAGTGGCCATTGGTTGGGATGGAGTACGGAGTAGTGTGACCATTGGTTGGGATGAGTATGGAGTAGAAAGTGGCCATTGTTTGGGCTGAGTACGGTGTAGTGGCCATTGGTTGGGATGAGTACGCAGTTAGGTGTGCCATTGGTTGGGATGAGTACGGAGTAGTGGCCATTGTTGGGATGAGTACGGAGTAGTGGCCATTAGCTGGGATGAGTACAGAGTAGGGGCCATTGGTTGGGATTGGTACGGAGTATAGGCCATTGGTTGGGCCTTGAGTACGGAGTAGTGGCCATTGGTTGGATGAGTACGGAGTAGTGGCCATTGGTTCGGGGATGAGTACGGAGTTAGTGGCCATTGGTTGGGATGAGTACGGAGTAGTGGCCATTGGTTGGTATGAGTACGGAGTAGTGGCCATTGGTTGGATGAGTACGGAGTAGTGACCAGTTGGTTGGATGAGTACGGAGCAGTGGCCATTAGTTGGGATTAGAATGGAGTACGTGGCCATTGGTTGGGATGAGTACGGAGAAGGCGGGTGGCCATTAGTTGGGATTAGTATGGAGTAGTGGCCATTGGTTGGGATGAGTATTTGGAGTAGTGGCCATTGGTTATAGCAGTTAGTAGATCATTAGGGAGGTTTTAGTAGGGCAGTTTTGTTGTGGAGTGTAGAGAGTGAAAGCCAGACTGTAAAGGATGAAGAAGGTTGTTGTCAGGTGAGGTGTGGGAAGCTCAGGCGATTGTAGACTAAGCGTTCTGAGGAGTTTAGAGGTAAATGGCAGCAGGGAGATGGTCTTTAAGTTGTTCAGGTTGGTGGGGTCCAGGGAAGGGCTTTTTAAGTTTTGGAGTGATGTGGCGCATGCTTTAGAGGGGGAGTGGAAGGCACCAGTATAGAGGGAAAGATGGAAGATGTGAGCGAGGGAGCATAAAGGATGGAAGAAGAGGGTGACCGTAGTAGTTGTGAGGGGACAGATCCAGGGGGCAGGTAGTGAGATGGGCTTCTAAGAAAACCTTAGTGACCTCTTCGGTAGTAGCGAGGTCAGAAGAGGAAAGTGTTGAGGGAGGTTTAGTATAAGGTGATGCTAAGTTGGGATGGATGTCCTGTGCAGTGGTTGATGCCCCTACGAATTGCATCAATCTTGTTTTTGAAATGATTTCCAATCTCATGAGCAGTGAGTGAGGTACTGGGTGGAGGTGAGAAAGTAGAGAGTTAAAATTAAGAGAGAGAGACGACGAGGACTGGAAGGTAATGAATAAGAGTGACTAAGTAGGCTTGATTGGCAGCATGAAGGGAGGAATTGTATGTGAAAAAACATTTATATCAGGTGAAATTGCTTGTTGAGCTTGTTCAGTCTGCCAAGGTTGTAATGGGAAACACGGGGCCTGATGCTTCGTGTTGTTAGAGGACCAAGTGAGTCCAGTGTGGATGATAGTGAACTGTTGTAGACAGCAGTGGCCAGGTCAGGGCAGGACAAGGGGAGAGATTCTGTCATAGAGTTGGTCAGTTGCAGAGTGGAAAGGAGCCGGGTTCAAGTTGTGAAGGTTTTCCTGCGGGTAATTGTTTAGCTGCATGGAGGGATAGGTGTTTGAAGATGAGAAACTGGTGATGGTATGAAGAGTGGTGAATCAGAGAAGAAAAGGTGGTGTTTGTGAGGTTGTATGGAGTGCAAAGATGGAGAAAAACAAGGTCTAATGTATGTCCCAATCAGAAGTGAGTGAGGACGGTGTACATTGGTACTAATGCAAAAGATGAGGTAATGTTGAAGAGTTGGGAATGTAGCCGGGTTTGTTTTGACCATTAATAGGGATGGTCAAAAATCTCCGAGAATGATAGCGGGTAGTTCAGAGGAAGAAAAGTAGGGTGTCCAAGCGAGAACATCATCAAGAAAGCGGGACACGGGTCCATGAGGCCGATAGATCACTGGCAAATCCACAGAGAACTGGAGGAGAAAACCAGCCGTATCCTGTGAGACTCGAAAGGAAGGATGAGAGAGGGCGGGGTTAGGGGGGACTGTGAAAGGTTCTTCAGTGGGGATAGAAGCAAACCTACCCCAAGCCACCTTTCTGACCACTGGGTCCTGGGTGAGGTGGGTCCGAGATGAGGCCTCCAAAGGGAAGTGCTTCAGGGGAAGCAGAATCTGCTGCTTGGAGTTCCAGGTTTCGGTAATTGCCTAAGTAGGTTAAAGGGAGCTCGTAGACAAAAAGGTCATGGAAGATAAATGAGAAGCGAATTCCCCCATCCACACATTGAGAGGAGGTATGGGGAAATCCTCCCCCGCTGGCTCCTTCTGTATTCTGACAACTGGGGGTGACGCCTCCGCTCTCGAGAATACCAACAGATTCAGCACTTGAGATCGATTGAGCCGCAGCCGCTGGTGGGAGTGGCTATATTACCCGGCCAGTGGCCGCACATGGATGGATAAATTTGAGCGATCCCTCTGCGAATCCAGCTGACATTTTTCCATGGATACGTAATGGTCACCGTTCAGTGACTTCCCTCCCCTCCCCCTCATCTCCTTCATGATGGAAGTCATGCTGAGAGTTCGATCTCCCAATGGGCTGAGCAATATTCTCAAAGTTGTCCTCCAGCTCCTTCTTGCTATTCCTCGTTCCATGCCTCTGTTGTTTCCTTGGATTGATTTCTCTGTGTAGTGACCCCCGGCTTTGTCCTATTTGGATGCGCTATATATACTCGAGCCTGACGTGGGGCTTTAAAAAAATGGAGACCTTGAATGGAGAGAGAGCAGGAGGAATTCTGGGGAATCTCATGTTTGAACTGTTACGATAGGGCCACAGAATTGTTTACTCTTCCGCTACAGACACAGAATTGTTACTCCAGGGCCACAGAAACTGTTAAACGTGAGGGCCACAGAACTGTTACTTAGGGCCACAGAATAGTTTACCTCTGCACAGACACAGGAATTGTTACTACTCACAGAACACAGGAATGTTACTCCCCCGAAACAGAACTGTTACTGGAGGGCCCCCAGAACTGTTACTTAGGGCCACAGAATTTTTATCCACAGACCGAATTGTTACTTGCACAGACACAAATTTTATGAGGGCCCCAGAACTGTTACTTAGGGGCCCCGAATTGTTACTCACACAGACAATAAATTTTTACTCAGGGCCACAGAACTGTTACGAGGGCCAAGAACTGGTTTCTTGGGCCACGAATTGTTACCCGCACAGACACAGAATTTTTTACTCGCACAAACAGAACTGTTATGAGGGCCACATAACTGTTTTTTTAGGGGCCCCAGAAAATTTTTAAAATCGCACAACACAAATTTTTATCGCACAGAACAAAATGTTTACTCGGGCCAC